GTCGGCGGCGGCGGTGGCGGTGGTGGTGGTGGTGGTGGCGGTGGCGGTGGCGGTGGCGGTACCGTGGCGGTGGCGGTCGCATGGGTCGTCGTCGTCGTCGTCGTCGTTTGCGTCCATGTGAGTATGATCAGTATTGGTATTGTCATGGCTCGTAATTGTTATCTAGCGTTATTGTGATGTGTTCTAAGTGTTATGCTTGCTGCCTTGGGGAATCTATGCTTGCTGCCTTGGGGAATCACATAAGGGTTCGGGCGGTTGGGGTCACCGGTCGGGCCTCAGGGACTGGCCCAGCATTTGCCCCAAAGGTGCTGGTAGCCTTCAAGGTGTTCTTTAATTAGGGGTTCTTGTAAGGATTCCTTCAAGGTCTGAACAGGGTCTTATATGGGGGGAGGGGTCGGTTGTAGGTCTCAGTCTAGGGGTCTACCTTGTCTATGTACTTGCATAGTACATACTTTGCCCGCAAAGTGGCTCTACAGGCACTGTTTAGCATCATCGCGCAGATACCTGAAAAATGACAACAGCGCCCTGGGGCCAATGCATTATACTATCCGGGCAGAGGAATCGGGAGCTTGAAGGACTGATCAACAACTTCTTGAGGCTCCCGTCTCAGACCCAGATCCCACAGAGTATCTAAATGACTACTTTTATCATGCCTCAAAGGGTCCCTGTTGTAATCATTCAGGCCCCCACATTAAACAAGGTGAATGGCGAGTGGCATCTCAAGTTCTCGGGCCGCGAGTGCCCCCCCGAGAGACAGGAGGTTTTCGCGCAACATTCCGTTTTTGAAAGGAGGGGCAGAGAGCGAATATGGCCTAATATTTCGGCTTCAGTCAGGGCTTTGGGAATGTCGGGGCTTACCTGAAGCGCGACATGTATCCTAAAAGGGCTCAAGTAGAGGTCTTCATGGTATACGGCTACACCACAGGACCTATAAGGGTCATGCGGTGCTTGAGGACGGGTTTTGGGTTATTCTTTCTGCACGGTCTATAGGATTTGGGGACCTCCCGCACACCCCGATGCCCAAGCACCAGCCCAAGAAAGCTTGAATGCCTCGAAGGCTTTTTTGCTAGCCTATATAAGAAACCCTTTTAGTACCACTTCTAAGAAACTGTAGAGTCACCCTTCCAAGGAACCCTTACATAGTACCCCTGACGCCTACGCACAGAAGTTTAAGCTTGAGCAGAAGCAGGTTGCGCCCAAGAGCCTTCCCCTAAGCCCTAAATCCTAAACCCCAAACCCTAAACCCTGTGTGAGGTCTTGCTGTAAGTGCGGACCTCACCCTTTTGGAGTGCATGCCTGCTACAGGTAAGCTTCTAGACCGAGGCGTGGATGCTGAGTGAAAGGGGCCATTGCACTTTAAAAAAAAAACCCTAAACCCCAGACCCTAAACCCTAAACCCTAACCCCTTCACCCTGAACTGTTACGGGTTTGCAAGAAGGGCTTCCGGCTGAGGGGTTGGAAAAGCTGGTGACGTTTCTGCCGATGAAACTTGAAGCCCAGCAACAAGCTGAGTTTAGGGGTAAAGGAAGTTGAGCTTTAGGGTTTAGGGTTTAGGGGGGTTCATGGAGTTGGGGTTTAGGGGTTCTTTTGGGGAAAAGCGGAAGCCTCAAAGATTTGGTACAGGAGCCTCCTTGATTGATCACAGCGTTCTCCTGCAGGATGCGTATTTAGTTAAATTACTTAAGTGTGGCACAATATACCTACAGGCCTTTTTGGACGAATGTCTTGCACCCCTATAGTCTGGATCAGTAGGTTTCAAAGTTACACCGAAGCCCCCATGCACAAGGTGCGAAAAGAAGGCACGTGCCAGCGGCTTTTCAATGGGGATGATTTGGGATGGGTTTAGGGGTTAACCCTAAACCCCTAAGCCCTAGACCCTAACCCCCTAAACCCCTAAACCCCTGAACCCTAAACCCTAGGCTGTTAGGGTTTAGGGAATTGGGCTACTTGCAGGATCGCGGGCTTCGGTGAGTGTCTATAGTGCTCCTTAGGAACATTGCCGTGTGTGGTTTCATTTGGGTCCCTATCGTGAAGCCCGGACAAAAACCCTAAACCCCTAGACCCTAAAGCCCTACAACCCTAAACCCTAAACCCCTAGACCTTAAATCCATAAAGCCCTAAATCCTGCGCACCAGCTTGTTGAGTGTTCAAAACCAGGCTGCCAAGAAGCCTTCTACCTTCGAGTACGCCTTACACAGGCTACTGAACTTTAGGCTTTAGGGTTTAGGGTTAGGCTTTAGGGTTTAGGGTTTCCCAGCTGATTGGCAGAGTCTGGGTTCAAAAAGGGTTAGGCTTTAGGGTTTAGGGAGTCATGGAGGGCTCGCGCCGCACCTTCAGCTTGGCCTCACCCTACCAACCACCTCATCGTCAACGTGCCTTGATGACACGAGGTGGGCTTCCACGCCGGTGCAGGGCTGGTTGCAGTGCAGGAGGTCTGGTGGGAGCGAGATCAGCAGGATGACTAGGCTGCCATCACTGTAGCCGATGACTTCATGAGCAACTTGCTTGGTGCTTCTCTCTTCGATGACTGGGACGGCCACATGACATCTGGCTTCCCCTAAACCCTAGACCCTAGCTGCATGGTCATGCGACACAAGATCGCCAAGCTTGGAGTCAGTGTGAGAACTCGTGGTGACATCCCTGACTGCTTCAGCATGATCCAACAGAAGCTTAAGGTTTAAGGTTTCGGGCGTTAGGGACCAATTTAGGGCTTTAGGGTTCAGGGATCTAGGTCTTTAGGTGTTTAAGGGCCAGAAAGCCTTTCGAGAGTCCTTATTCCCGGGATTAGGGTTTAGGTTTTGGGATATTAAGGTTTAAGGTTTAGCGATTATAGGTTTAGGGCTTGGGAGTGTGGCTGGCTGATGGTCTCCCAGCGGGAGCCGGGGAGTTGGCCTGAGCGACAATGAAGATTCATTGTCTTCGCTTTGATGCATCCCTCAGATAGTCTCGAAATCCTGAGCCCTAAGCTCCTCTAAAGTTTTAGGGTTTGGGGATGCATGCCTGGGATAGTCTCGAAATCCTGAGACCTGAAGGGGGGGGAAGGTCGGGAGTTTGGACTTAGGGCTCTAGGTTTTGAGATTTCGGATTGAAAGTTTAGAGGAAAGCCCACTGATCTTTTAACTACCAAACAAATCCCCAACAAATGGAACCAGCAAGCATGATCAGGCGCCGCAGGAACTCTTACCGGGACCCCGACCCCTAAAATCAATTCTACGTACTACGTATACTTGCAAGTTGTAAGTCCCTCAAGCTTTAGGCGCAGGTAAACCTTAAGCCCTATAAACCTAAACCCTAAACCCTAAACCCTACTCTAACCATAAACGCCTCAGAGAGTATGTCAGGCCGAAGTGCTCTTGACCATGGAGCCATCGGGGCGGCTGCTGCTGTCGCCGTCTCGAGGCGAGAAGCCAAGCGCCATCTGTGGAGTTTCTAAACATACCCTGACCCACCAGTACCTACTTTTTTGTAGGGTCCCTATAATTTCCATAATAAGGAAGGACCTACCAAAAAAGTAGGTTTTGGTAGGTTAAGGTAGGGCTTTCACGGGATGGGTTTTGGTTTAGTAGGGTTCGAGTTTAGTTTAGGATTCAGGAGGCGGGCATGAGGGCATGTGCACTGCAGCCCCTCCTCAAAAACAAACAGGGATCAGGGAGTTTCCGATCATAGGGCTTTAGCAGGGGTACTGTAGGGTTCTGCGTTTAAGAGCTTAGGAAATCTTGCTTGTAGCTTATTCGGGGGCCCTTACATTATCGGAATTCCATTGTTTGGGTTCTAAAAATTCTCGCTGAGTCTCGCTCGCCCTTGAAGCAGGTGACCCCTGTCGGGTATCATGCCGGACACCGCACCGAAGCCTTAAGTTAGGGTTTTTGGGATTTCTGCGTTCCGACACACACACACACAGCACACACAAACAAACATGCACACGCACATGCGCACGCACACGCACACGCACACGCACGCACAGACAGCTATGTACATGTCCACAGGTGTATTGATACGTTTATGGGCTTCTGTTCATTCGAAGGCGTTCGATTATTGCATCGCGCTGGCACACTCTACCACCATCCTGTCTTCGAAACACTTTCTAGGCCCCAGTAGATCACGAATGCCTCCCCAAGCCCTGCCAAGCCCTTGCAAAGATTGAAGTTATCATAGGGGCCCAAACGATTGCCAAAGTTGTGCCTTAGGGTTCCTTATTAATTGTTATGACCGTACCCCAAACCCTATCAGAAATATTGAGGCCACGATCATAGCCCTTGTGGAACCATTTTTTAAGGAACCTTATTCGACCCTGTCCCTTAAACCTTAAGCTTCCACGTCATGGCCAACTATGGGAAAGCGATAGAGAATTGCACTTCCGCAATTCAGCTATCTTAGGCCTGAAACTAAGGCCGTCTGCGAACTGAAGCATAGTCAACAGCCTTCAGAACTACCCTGCGGTGCAGCTAGGTGGGAGGCATTAAGGACTGAGACTCTGAACCATGAGCCCCAAAGAAGACTCTCCGACCCCATCCCTCCCAGGGGCTGCTTCGCGCAAGAAAGCCGATGGTCAGAACACTCGCTCCTGGACGGATGTCCAAGTGCAGCATGTGCAAGTCGGTCCTTACAGCTTAAACCCTAATCTAATCAGCCGGAAGTACTTAGGAATCCGAGGAGGAGTTCCAAGCACAGAGGCTCTAACCAAAGCCTCAGCCCGAAAGGGCTGGCTTAAAGTTTCTTATTTTTTTTATCATGGGAACTGCCCCGTATTTAGGGATCAAGTACCCGAGCAGTCATATACTTTCCCCAGATGTGGCTCTGCATTGCTACTCTCCGAAGCCCAGGCACCTGATTAGTAGGTCCTCTGGGCCCTTAGAAACCCCATGAACTCTCCTATAGATCTAGAGCCCCCCGAAGAAGAGTACAGAACTCCTTATGTATCCGAAGCGCTATAAATCCCTTTTTCAACCCTAGGGTATACTAGTTTTTTCTGACTCGACTGGAGTTGAGGCCGCACGTGACAGGCTTCAGATTCCCCTTGAAAGGGTGCCTTGAAGGGTTTCCTTAGGCGAGAGTTTTATTGTTTACAGTCCAGGGTCTGTCTGAAATGTCAGGAGGCTCAGTAAGACGCAGTAGGAAGGATTAGAAGATGTTATATCCCCAGTTCGCATACTTAGAATGCTACGTGCTAAGTCGATGCATCCTTAAATTGGAGCTCCTCCCAAGGGAGCCCACCTTTCTGATGAAGGGATGCTCCTCAAGTCATACAAAGAAAAACTTGCATTTCTCTGATATGTCTGTTGGTTTGTTGTACTTGAAAATCCTGAATTTTGGGGATGCTGGATTCTCTAGGTAGGAGGTGTCGCCCTAAACCCTAAACCGTACCGCTTTGGCAGACTTCAAGGGCTCAGGAACCGCCTCACAGCAGCCTCGGCTCCCATGTCAAGTTCCCAGAGAACCCAATACCCCTTAATCAAGGAATATACCTTAAATCAAAATATAAAGGCCCCTATAATTTAAGGTACATTCCTTGCTCTCTGAGTTCCCAACCCTGAAAGCCTAAAGTTTACCCAGAACCCTAAAACCTCAAACCTTAAGGCTGTTTGGCCTGTCAGGTAGCTACTGTCACTGGGGCAACGCCTTAGAGGTCTAGGCTTGTTGCTGGCATGACTAAAATATACTATAGTCGGCCTGGATATGCTGTAGCATACTCCGATACGGCCGCTCATCTCAGTTCTCGCTCGTCTGTCCGGCGTGCCAAGCCTCGCACTGGAGCATCCGAGTGCGAGTGTCAACTCTGTCGACCCCTAGATAAGCCTAAAGCATTGTACCAAACTTAGTTATTCCCAAGGGTTCCTAAAAAATACAATAGATCTACTAAACCCTAAACCCTAAGCCCTAAACCCTAGAGTCAGAAACCTCCCGATAAAGTCTTCTCAGGCTTTGGTGTCCGTCTGAAGATGGCTCAGGAAGTTCGCGAATATGTGGACGCTGGGTCCGGATCGGGCTTTAGGGCTTACTGTTCTAGGGTTTGGGGTTTAGGGCTTAGGGCTTACTGTTCTAGGGTTTAGAGTTCAGGGCATACTGTTCTAGGGTTTAGGGTTTGGGGCTTACTGTTCTAGGGTTTAGGGTTTAGGGTTTAGGGCTTACTGTTCTAGGGTTTAGGGCTTAGTGGGAGGGCGGGGGTGGCTTTAGCGATTTTCGACTTGGAGGTTTAGTGGTTCAATGGCTTCACGGTTTAGTGGGTTGTGTTTGTTTTTTTCGGTTTCGGAGGCTCAGGGGGCGCAAGTTGGGAATGTGGGTTGCGGGCAATCCGGGTAGAGGCCTGGATGTCGTCCGGTGATACAGGTTCAGTGCAGCATTCGAATTAGCTCGTTCCGAATTCGGCATTTATCACACCCCCCAAACCCTGAACCCTGAACAGTTTGCCTAACTCGGGCAGACGCAAAAGAGTTACCCCAATTGTAGAGAGCAGTTTGGCTTGTCAGCATGTCGGAGTGTAAGTGTCCAGAATTGGCTTTGTGCGAAAAGCCGAATCCATCAACCCTGGATCTCTTGTGACGCCCGATCTGCCCAAAACGTAGTCGTTCTTCGTTTGAGTTTTTGGCGCAAACACAAGCACACTCCTCAAACTCTAAGCCCCACGCCCTGCCACGGCCCATACCCTACAGCAAACACTTTTTAGACAACAGGGAACAGTAAAAAGTAGTTAGTTCCCATTCCTACGTACTGTAGTATGATACTGAACCCTATAAACCCAAAATGCGAGGACCTTTTTCGACAGACCCAGTGTTGCGAAGAAAGTCCCACCCTGCCCTGCCTTTCCGAGGAGAACTACTGCGACGGTGTAGTTCCGCAGGTCCTTGAGGGTTCAGGGCCGTTCAGGGCTCTTTGTAGCTTTCCTACAAGGTTAATAAGGCTCCTAAATCCCGAACTGGTACGCTTCCTTGGTCGTTTCGGTGATGGGTTTGTGGCATACTAGTAAAGTTAGGTTTTCTGGGGCTGGGCGGCGCCTCAACGAACGGAGAGGCATAGTAACTATAGTATATCGCCCCATAATTAACCTCTTCATCAATAAAGGGAAATTCGTTACATCATCATAAGAACCCACGGTGCAGGCCTAATCCTTGGGCCCAGGGCTCGGCGTTTAATTTTTTAAAGTAATACTGGATACCTGTTGAGCGGTTGAGACTGGAGTGCCTGAAATCTCAAACTTCGGTGCTTAGAGCTTCAGGGTTGAATGCTTGGGTTCGATCAGCTTTTGTTTAGAGTCTAGAGTTTTAGCTGGAATTCCGATCCCCAAATCCTAGGATGCCGCCGTCAGTGCATGGCGAAAGCCGCTGCCCAGTTTGCAAGGCACTTGTTTGGATTCTTCACTGCTGACAATCTGAGTCTGCTTCAGCTTCGTCCCTAAACTCTAAACCCTGAAACCCCAAACCCCTAAAAACACCAGAAGGCCTAAAACCCCTGAATCAGCGTCGTTGTCCTTGCTCAGGCATCAACTGCTCCAATAGACACGCAGAGTTGTGCGGTCCCACAAGGCCCCAGAATACATTCGCCATCACTTCTCTCTTAAACCCTAAACCCTAAACCCAACTTAAGCCCTGTTTAGAGGGCCTAGAACCCTAAACCCGAAACCCTAACTTTAGCCTTGTCTAGAGGCGCCTAGGACCCTAAAGCCCTATGCTCACCCCACAGAGCTCTAGGGCCTAAGCCCTAAACCCTATGTGCATCAACGCCCGGAAAAGAGGCCGAAAACCTCGAAGCCCTGACGTCCTAAGGCCCCAAGCACTGAACACCCCGAGTCCTGAAGCCCAAACTCCGAACAGTAAGGCTGAGGCTTTATAGTTTTTAGGGTTTAGGGTTTAGGGTGCCTAAACCCTAAACCCCTAAACCCTGAACCCCTAAACCCTAAAGCTTAAAGCCCTAAAGCTATGAGCGCCGGAAGGACCCGGATGACTTCCAAAGAGTTCTGGACCACTACTGGGGCAGCAGCTTGGCGCTGTTCTGGCTGGTATTTTACCCGGACAGCCCAATGTAGCAGAGACTTCCCTACGACGATGGAGTTCTGTTTAGGGAGTTCAGGGTTTAGAGTTTAGGGTTTAGGGTTCTATACGCAGCGGCTTTGCAGAGGTCCTATAGAGTGCTCTAGGTCTTGTACGGGTCCCGGGTACTTGATACTTAGGTTTTTGGGCTTTAGGATAGCAGTGCCCATACGCTCCTAAGTAGTTCCTTCTTGTGGTTTATATTTAGAATCCTATAAGGTAATCCCAAAAAGGAACTATTTAGGAGCCTACGGGTAATGTAAGTTTGCACCCGGACCTGCAAAACCCTAAGCCATAAACCCTACTCACTTGAAGGAGCTGGCTCCCCGAGGGTTGCAACTGTTACTGTGAGGAAATTCCATAATAAGGAGGCAAACTTTTATGGTTTAGGTTTTGGGGCTTGGGGCCGCGTAGGGTTTAGCATTTTGCGTTTGAAGTAAGCCAGCAGAGACGGCAGACCCCATATCCAGCCGCAAAGGCCAGATGCCAGAGGATGATTTAGGATTTAGGGTTTAGGGCCAGAGACGTATAAGCGCTGGCGCTTGGAGCTTGGCTGAAGGGATTCAGGGCTTAGTGCATTGCAGTCCCTGCTCAAAAAAGTGCCAGAGACGTTGGGTGTGCAGGTGTCATTGTAGTTGCAGATTGCAGCGCCGCCGCATCTTGTCAAGCTGCACTGGAGCCGTACCAAAGCATTTAGGCTTGGACCAGTATCTCTCGACCTTTCCGGACGTTTGGGTATTCCAGTTTTTTGGTCATGACGCTTTTGAGCCCACTCTGGCACTGCATGCACTTCCTCTGCAACGGAACCAGCAAGGCAAGGCAAGGATTTTCCAGTACGTCTCAGACCCTGAATCCTAGTTGTGCCACATTGTGAGCAAATTGTTTCGAAGCATTCTAAACCCTGATCTTACCCTAAACCCTAAAGCCCCAAAGCCTTAAACTCTAAAACCCTAACACCCCTAAAACCCGAAACCCTAAAACCCTAAACCCTAAAGATTGCTAACTAAAAGGGAACCGAGCCGAAACCCTCATCTCCAACCCCGAAACCCCCGGATTTAAGCCAAGCCCTGCTCTCAAACCCCACCCTGATTCTAGGACATTTTCAGGTGGGTACTTTCCGTTATAGGAGTTTCCGAAAATAGGGGGGGGTACCTTATTTTGGGGGTCCTTATAATCAGGATCCTACTATTTAGGGTACTATATTAGGGTCCCCTATTTTCGGAAACCCCCTTATAGGAGCCTTATAGAAGGTCTTTTTACCTTTTAGAAGCCTTATAGAAGCCCTATATACCCTAAACTCCCCACCTGTAGTTTCCTTTAACTGATGCCCTAAACCCTGAACCCTAAATCCGAAAAGCTGAATCCTAAGTCCTACCTGTGAATCCAAAAACCTACCATTTTAAGGGGTATACCCTCTATTTAAGGGGTCATAACCTACTATTCTGTAGGGTTTGGGGTTACAGGTAATCCCTCCTAAGCCCTAAACCATCTAAACCATCTAAGGCAAGATCCGTCCAGCTTGCAACATCGCCACATCTGGCAGGCCTCGGGTTCGGGGTTTCGGGTTTTGGACTCTAGGGAATTAGGGTTTGGGGTTTAGGGTTCAGGGGTTTAGGGCTTTAGGGAATTAGGGAATTAGGGTTTGGGGCTGGGGTTTTGGGAAAAGGTTTCTATCGCCTTTGGTAAGGTTTTGATCAATTTAGTGTGCTTAGAAGGGCGTATGGGTTTCTCTAAGGGGTGTATAGGATGCCATTTAGCAGCCTTGATCATTAGAGTAGGGTATTGGGACCTATTGCCGGCAGCATTCTTACGTAAGTTGTATACTGGGGCACCGTTACTTAGCATTCAGACCCTTATTGTGCGTTGGAGGATTTCCGGATCCGCACATGTACAGAGCCTAAAGAAGGAGGCCAAGCAATAGTTTTAGTGGAGAATCTCCCACGGCAGTCCCCAAACAGTCACACAAGAAAACGCGGGGAACAACGACCAGACTAAGAATTGAAGGCACCACAGCATCGAAGACCGATGCTGCACGGCTTCTGGTCATAGTCCTGATCGGTAGGTTACGCCAGAAGCTGGCACTCCGCAACCCAAACCCAAAGCCACCAACATCGCATAAACCTCAAACCCGTACATCCCAAAGACAAAGCTCGCAGTCCGATCCGAGCCCCGAGCCTCTAAAGCGAAGCCCCCACCCCGGGGCCAAAACCACGCGGGTTAGGGCTTCAAGGTTTAGGGGTTTGAGGTTTAGGGCAAGACCCTTACCCTCAACACCCAACCGCCGAGCGCCGAGCACTTAACAAACACATAGTGTCATGCTTTTGGCGAAGTCCTTGTAAGCCCTTTGCGACCACAGGAATCCCTAGGAGATGACCTTACCCATAGGCTCCGAAGTAGTTCCTTTTTATGGTTTATATTTAGAATCTTATAGGGTAATCCCCAAAAGGAACTACTTAGGAGCCTATGGGTAGCACAAGAAACTTACCAGGAACCTCAGCCCTGCACCTAACGCCTTGAAGCCCAGAAGGCCTCGAAGCCCTTGGGACAGGATTCAAGCCTAAACCCTCAAGTCCCCCAGACCCTAAGACGCCCTGTATATATAGATTAAACCCTAAACCCTAAGAAGCCCTAAGGGCAACTAGGGTCTTCTTCGATTTGGGGTTGCGGATGTAGCGCTTGGGGTTTAAGTGTTGCGTCTACGAGCTTTCGAGTTTAAGGCTTCTGGGGCTGTCGGTTTTTAGTGAGTTTTAGGGAAGTTGGCTCCCCGGCGGATGCAGTAGCAGCTCGGTGGCATGGTAGACGCATGGGCAAGGAATGTTTCATGGTGATTACTACCATGGTTTCATCATGAAGTTGAGTTTATTAAGGCTCGGGCGTAGACTAAACAGGGGCAGCGAAGCCTTGGTACTGTATGTCTTGGCATTCTTCGGGGCCGAGGGGTTGGGGATTGCCTGCTTCGTCGGGCTTTGCTGCGTCACTTGGCAGGTCCTGGGCAGAGATCGGATGGCCAGGAGACCGGGATGCAATGGTACAGAAAAGCGCTGAACCCCTTTGTCTCTGAGCGCTGAAACCCGAAGGCCTGCACCTGGTACGATAAAGCCCCCATGCTCCCCACCCCCCCTGCCCGACACCCCCACAGCATCATTTTTAAACCAGCCAAGTAGCCTAAAGCCCGTGACCCATGCAGACTCTGGGACCTAGACTTTATCTTCAGCCGCCCAGCCCGAAGCCCGAAACCGAAAGCCGTGGTTTATGGTTTCGGGTTTAGACTTGAGACGGCGTGCACGCAACAAGCCTGCTGCCAAAAAGAGTTGAGACCAGTCACATTTTTCAGCAAAAAAGTCGAGGCTCTTGGAAGAGCCCCCGATCCAGAAACTGGGTACAGGTCCCGAAGCCGGACAGATACTTGTATGGGGGTTTCCGAAAATAGGGGACCCTAATATAGTACCTTAAATAGTAGGCTCCTTATTATACGGACCCCCAAAACAAGGTACCCCCTATTTAAGTCACATGGACAAATGTATCAGGCCACAGCCATGGCCTCTGGAGCTTCTAGGATAGATGGGGTTCCTTTAGTAAGGGTGTCGGTTAAAGTGGTCTACAGTGACAAGGTGTACTACAAGGGCTTAGCATAGTGCCCTTAATAATTAGAACAGGGCTTTGGGGTATACTACAGAGTAACTATAGCAATGCATTCTACGGGACAGTATTGGTAATTCTTCAGGCTTGTATTGGATGGTTGCTTTCAGGTGCAGGGCTTCAGGGCTTGGTTCTGTTGATGATGCAGCCTGTCGTTTTTCGAGTTTAAGACTCTGCCCTGAATTTCAAAGCGCTTCGGGGCTTCATTGGGTTATTGAGTTTGGGGTTTTGAGTTATTCTTCATGCCTTCTAGATTCTAGTCGACATGTCATCGGCAATCTAGAGGTTTGAAGAAATTATCTAGCCTTGCCCGTCATAGCTTCTACAGTACTACTTTGCACCGAAATCATATACCCTAAAAAGGCACTCTCATTATTCAGTCACTGCCTTCGTTAGGCCGCGTTCAATCACGGCTTGTGGCTTAACCCTACACCCTAAACCCTAAACTTTCCACCGCTTCCAGGAAGCCAGAATCAATGCAAGCGGCGAGCGGCGAAGGACCTGAAAAGCCGCGGGGACGTCCTCATCGCCCGAGGTCGGAGGGCTTGCAACAAAAAAGGGCCTCCCAGGGCTGGTTTCTCAAATAGTGTAGGAATCCTTAGGGGCTGAGTAGGTAACTTTTAGCCTTTTGGGCTTACATAAACCTAATATAAATCAAAAGGTTAACCTTTTTTTGGGCTAAGGTACTCGGCCCCTAAGAATCTGTTGTAGCGGTGTTCATTCCTAGGGTTTCAAACTTTCTGCACGGGGACTTCATAAAGGCCTCAGATCTGAGGCTTCGGGCTTGGAGATACCTTTAAGGGTTTGGAGTGTAGTCGTCCATCTCCGGGCTATGCAAGCCATAAACCCTAAGCCCCCAAACCTTACACCCTATATAAACCCGTAAACCCCAAACCTTAAAAACCTTATACCCCTAAACCTTAAGCCTTAAACCATATATACCCTAGATACCCTAAACCCTAAACCCCTATAGACCCTAAACCCAATGCCTATGCCCTAAACCCTTTGAAAGTGTAACGTCGTCAGACCCTTAGTTAGAAGTCCTTGAGTTAGGGGTTGGATTTAGGTTGCCGGGTTTAGGCTTTAGGGTTGGGTTTAGGGTTTAGGGAAGAATAGGGTTTAGGGTTTAGGTTTAGGGGTTGCGTCGGGTTGAGAAGGAACATTTATCTGAACTTCTTGGGAAGCTTGGGCAAGTGGGTTTGAGCCAATGTCCCTAAACCCTAGGCCCTAAACCCTAAACCCGCCTGGATTGTTTCGGTGTCAGTCTCAGCTCCAAGCCCTCCCTCCCCCCCCCAAGCCTCCAAAACCTGAAGTCTGAAACTGAAGCACCGAATCCTAATCCCTAACCCCTGTACCCTTTCAAAACGAAGTCTTAAGCACCGAATCCTAATCCCTAAACCCTGTACCGTTTAAAAACGAAGTCTTAAGCACCGAATCCTAATCCCTAAACCCTGTACCGTTTCAAAACGAAGTCTTAAGCACCGAATCCTAATCCCTAAACCCTGTACCCTTTCAAAACGAAGTCTTAAGCACCGAATCCGACTTATACAACTTATAGCCCTAATGAAGCCTTCAGGATGCTACGGAAACGGGCCCTCGAACAAGCAAGCCTTCGAGGAACCAGGCGAAACGCGAAGGCTTAATAACCCTAAACCCCTAAACCCTACAAACCCTAAACCCTACCCTATAGCCTCCCTTATAAGGTCCCCCATATAGGCCTTAAGTGGGTAGTTCTCCAAATTTAAGGTCCCTTTTTGGGTCCCCCATATAGTACGCACCTTTATAAACGGGACCCTGAAAGGGACCCTAATTTAGAAAACTACCCAAGGGCCCCCCTAAACCGTAAACCCTATAAACCCTATAAACCCTATAAACCCTAAACCCTATAAGCCCTAAACCCTAAACTCAAGTGCTGAACGTCGATTGTTCTGACAGGGCTGCCCGCCCTGGACGCCCTTCGCATTGCGAGATCATTGAGCCTCCTCTTGTTTAGGGTTTAGGGTTTAGGCCCCGAAGTAGTTCTTTTTTGGGATTACCTTATAGGATTCTAAATGTAAATCATAAAAAGGAGCTACTTAGGGGCCTATGGGTAGAGATTGAGGCTTAGGCATTGGTGTTGAGGGTTTCGGATTTTAAAGTCGGAGTTTAAAGCTTAGGTTTTAGGGTGCAGGGTTCATTAACGGGTAGACCGAGTCTGGGGGTCTTGGGTGGTTTATATCTTCGGTTCAAGGTTCGGGGTCCATGAAGGGTTTAGGGTATATACAGGTTTCAGTGTTGAGGGCTTAGGGTTTAGGAGAGGGTTTAGGAGATGCCTTGTACTCCGGCTGAGCTTGAGAGAACATGAGTGGGGGTCCCGCTTTTGGAGGTTCAGGGTTTGGGGTCTGCATTTGTCTCTACCCCAGGATTCTCAGGAAGCCCGACCACTTACGCAGATTCCGAAGGTAGGGCTCAGGGTTTAGCTTGTGTAACAGTTTACATGCGCTGTCCATTTGGCTTGGGGCTCTTTCTGGATCTCGGGTTTATGAATCACTGTGCCATACATAGCTCCCGCACCCACCTGCCCTCCAATGCTAGCACCGAAGTACCGACCACTGAGGAATCTGAGACCAATTCAGAGGGTCGTTCGCAGGTTCTGGCAATGACCCAAAGAACCCAAGACCCCTTAGTTAAGGAATATACCATAAATCATGATATTTATAAGGCCCGGTTCACTTAAGGTATATTCCTTGACTAAGGTGCATTGGGTTCTCTGGGGAGTTCGGTTGAGGAAGTTTGCCGGATCGATGCACCTTAGCTTCTCAAACGGCCAATTTTTTTGAAGCCTGAAAGATTAGCAATCTTGGTTTTTGGGGGTGGCTCATTAAAGCGAGATGATTGAGTATAATATACCACCCAAAAGATTGTTCTAGTTAGTAATTATTAGTGGCCCCGTGTGGCTGTGAGACTGTGTTTCTAAACCCCTAAACCCGAAACCATTAAACCTCTCGCCTGTCAGGTCCGAGTTGTGAGAACATACACTAAAAGCCCTAACCAAGAGGGTCCGTATACACGACTATGACGGAATTAGGCCACCCAAAACCATGATATGGATGGTCTTTTACAACCTACTTCCTTAACGGTAGTATATGTGGACCCTTGGGTAAAGGGGGACCTTGGAAGCTTTAACGAAGGAGGATGAGAGTTCCCGGGATGATTGCCGGGTGTGGGGGTTTTAGGGGTTTTAAGGGCTGTTGGGGGTTACGGTTTAGGGTTTAGGGTTTGGAGGGCTGTTAGGGTCAGGGTTTCGGGTTTAGGGCTTTCGTTCAGTTTCAAGTTTGCTGCGGTCGTGGGAAGAGCTTAAGATTCCGGCTTGCCGGCACACACTCAAAGCCCATGCTGAAAAGAAATTTTAGGGCTGTTAGGGGTTTAGGGTCATATGGACTCCCAAAATAAAATACAGCAATCTAGTTTCTGAAATTCCCATACACTTCCCTTGGGTCGAGATCCTAAGAGAGCTTAGGGCAGTTAAGAAGAGAAAGGTGCATGCTTACTAGTTTGAAGTCTGAGGTCTGTACTAGCTCTTACATCCGAACACCTGCATCCGTCCCCCAAGCCCGTCCCTCGCGCGAGGAAAGAGTTCTCCCAAGCTGGCGCAGAGTTCGTCGAAGACAAGTCTTTGGAGTCGGAGATCAAGACAGGCCACGATACGATGTAGGGTGGGTTTAAGCCCTGAGCCCCAAAGCCTGCCTCATTACTATTCCCTGTAGGTTCCTGTGTAAAATGCCTACAAGGGTTACTATGAGGGTTTACTATAGGAGGCACAATAGTTTCTAGCATGATTCCCAGACTTCCATGTTGTAACTGTATACCCTTATTTTTCAAAGATGAAGACCCCCATATTAGCTAGGGTCGATGGCTTTGCGCCCGAAAACCAAGGAGCCGCCAGGCCTTCGACTCTTAGGCGGCTGAGAGCAGCCACGGCCGCCCCGAGAGACCGGGACACAAAGCTCTCCAACGGTCAAAAACAGGGGTCGGAATAAGTTGCAATAGCATCCCCTTAAAGGCCCGACTGCAATAAGACCCTAACATGCCCTCAGACCCTGCTCTTATTATTAAGGCCCATGTATCAACCTTTCATCCTGGCATCTCAGTTCCGACAGCCCGACAAACTCTTGAGCATTTGCGAACTTAGCTTACGGCTTACGCCCCCACCTATTATTGCGGTTCAATCTGTTGGGTTCGGTGTTCATAGCCCCCCCTGCACACGCCATGACGCCTTTCTTGATCGCAGAACCTTCAACCCAAACCTGATCCTACTCCGAGTAGCCGCGGCCATCCCTTCATAAATGACTCCAGCCGGGTCACCCCATTCATCCAACTCCTCTTCCGCTTGCAGACCTCAGCAATGGTCTTCATTGCCCCTGACCAAAATTCTAACGCCAACCCCGATGATTTTAGACCCCAAACCCTAATCCTTCAAACTAAAGTCCCCAAGCTTAAGCCCACTAAGTTTAGACCTAATCCCTGGAACCCGATGCCCCAAACCCGAAAGCTTAAGCGTCTTCACGCAAACATCCACACACCTAGCGGCCCCAATCCCAAGAACAAGCTCAACGACCGGATGCACGAAGCCCTGCACATCTTAGGGTGTACATTTCTTGGGCTTCGAGTGTAGATTTAGAGGTAATTACTAGTTTCTAGCTTCCCCCTCGCCCAAGCCTAAATTTCGCAAGTTAAACAAATACAAGGAGACCTACTGTTGAGGGTACTACTGAGGGATCGAAAGACTGAATTCCTATAGAGCCCTTTCAGTCAGGGACCCTTGAAACAACGGTAAGGTAAAGGGTACCTTAAAGACCTAAAGGAACTTTTTTAAGGTACCCTATAAGGCGTTCCTAGCAAGTTCCGTAAGTAACATTGGGAACTCGCTCTTCAGGTGCTAGGGGATGCCATAGTTGTAAGGGTCTCTCTGAGGGTTTTGTGGGATTTCATCCGGTGTGCAACATTTTTTGAATAGGGCTCTACATCTAGAGCATAACAGGTGTTGGGGTTCATCTAGGATTTTAAGGAACAGTAACCCAGCATTTCGGTAGCTGGGCTCCAACTGCTCCTAGGGTGTCTTATCTAACTACTGCAACGTCTTAAAACCTTGAACCCTACATCCTAATGCCCTGATAGTTTTGCCTTCAACCCGAACCCCAGAGGCCCTAACCCCGGCTTCGGGGGTAATCATGAGGGCTGCGGGCTTAGGTGCAGATCTTGATCCCTTATTCCGAAACCCCTAAAACCCGTAAAACCCTGAAAAGCCAAACCCATCAACGCCGGCACGGTGGCAGGCGACATGGTTCAGAAGTTGAAAAAGATCCTCGGCCCAAGTTTGATTAAGCTCTTAAAACCAAACACTAATCCAAATATCGGGGTCGGATTTGTGTAACGTAACCGGGTCGTATAGGTGTTACTAAGCATAACCAGAAAGCTCGGCTCTAATTGTTAAGGCCCCTACTTCAGCGTTCAGGGTTGTGGGGTTCAATTACGGTTCAGGGAAAGGACATGAATGAGAGGTGTTTTTAAAGAAAGAGCCTAGACATGCAAGTATTTTTGCGGTTCAGGAAGCCCGCACGCCCTATGCCCACAATCCCTGCACCCACCACTTTGCGAGCCTCCGAGTTTTTCAACGCCTCAGAGCCGTAAACCCTATACCGCCTAAACCTTCAACCCTCAGACCCTAGACTCTCAACCTAAAGGCTACGGCCTGAAGCCTCAAACCATAGACCCTAAGGAATGTTTGGTGCAACAGGTTTGTCCAAGCGAAATACACCAAACCCGAAGAGCAAAACTCCGAAGTCCTAAACACCGACAGCACGAAGCCCTACCCATAGGCTCCTTAGTAGTTCCTTTTTGGGATTACCTTATAGGATTCTAAATATAAATCCCAAAAAGGAACTACTAAGGAGCCTTTGGGTAGAAGCCCCATGCCCAACGGGGCTTACAGGGCCTCGGCCCGTGTGGGCTTTGTTTTCCGGGCTTTTGATAGATTTTGCAGATGGGGCTCAGTTTCCTCATCCAAGCGGAATCAGCGGCCACAATAAAGGATAGTTGGAGGGGCCTGAGTCTACATAGGTGTGGTTCACTCCTGAACTGTCAGTTTGGGTTTTAAGGTCTCTGATTCATCGTTTGGAGTTGGCGTTTTGATCCTGTGTTTAGTTGAGGATGTCGGGTTGGCCACATACCACGGAATCTTGATCTGATCCGATCTGATCTTCCTACCCACGAAACCCTCTTCTACTCATGAAGAATCGTACATTACAGCTGTTCAGGCGTGTACAAACAAGCGTGAAGTGTTGGTAGCCGGCGCACATGCGCATGCCCCGTCGTGATCTGAGACAGGGATCCCCCAGTTACCCCGTGAAGGACAATCTTTTGGTTTAGGGTTTAGGGTTT